ACGCATGTTGAGCAAAACCAACATAACCATCAGCGTACCCGACCCAACACGCGAAGCTCTTTGCAACCACTTGTCATTTTCAACGTAGACTCCTTCCGGCCCGTCACGCCGCATCCGCGGCCCGCGCCTCGCGCTCCCACACCTCCACCAAATCCCTCCGCTCGACTCCAGCTACCATCTTTCCCGCCCTTGCACGCATCCCCCGCGCAAGCGCTGCGAGCGCCTGGACCACACGCACCTGCTCGTCCCCCTCCTCGCCCTCGGCCTGCGCGACCGCATTCCCCGCCGCGACCGACCGCCCACCCATAAAAAAGGCCTGCGCGAGCGTCGTTCGCGACCCTTTCGCCATGAGCAATGCCGTCGCCGCATCGCGCCACCCGGCACGCGCGTAGACTTGCGCGAGTTCGAGCACGGCCGCGTCGTCGTCAGTCGGCATCACCTGTTTGAGGAACGCAGAGGCCGATTCGAGGTCGCCGCTTGCCGCGAGCGTGCGCGCAAGTTGTCGGTAGACAGCGGCGGGGAGGGTGTCCGGATCGAGCAGCGCGACGGCGGATTCGCCGTGGTGCATGGCGCGTGGGGCGTCGTTACTGGTCATGGCCACGTGCGCGGCGAGCAAGTGCGCGAACGCGGTACCCGTCGCGTCGGTATCGTCGGTGGAACTCATGCGCAGGACGTGCGTCGCGACGCGGTCCATCACTTCTTGGCTCAGCGGCGTCTCTTGATTGTCGACTTTGTCGTCGTTTCCACGGTCCGCGGCCTCACCCACCTCATCCACCTGCCGCGCAACCATCGCCGTGAGCACCTGCCGCCACGCGGCCGCGCGTGTCGGGTGCAGGACCGCCTGCCGCTGCGCCATTCTTAACGCCGCCTTGGAGTCGCCCATCGCGAGCAATCCGACCGTGGCCAGCGCGAGCCCGCTCCCGTCCTCACCCACGATCCGATCATGCGCAGCAACTCCACGCGCGACCGTGACCTGCGCTTTCCCCGAAGAATACCTCGCCAGGAACCGCGCGAGCCGCGCCCACGCGGCATGATGCCCCGGGAACATGTGCGCGGCGCGCTGCAGTGCGCGCAACGCCCCCTGCACGTCCCCCTGCAACAGAAGATAAATGCTCGTCATGTACTGCGCGTCGCGCGGGGGCATCGCGTCGAACGCCGTGCCCACGAGGTCGTCCCGGCCTTGCAGGAGACCGAGCGCACAGAGGAGGCCAGGGGCCACACCGTCGACGAGGGTCGGGATCGAGTCGGTGCGCTGGCACTGGTAGCTGAGCTGCGCGAGCAGCTTGCGTTCCGTGTCGGTCTTGCGGTCGGTAATTCGCGCAAGGGTCGTCGTGCACGCCTCGATGGCTTTTCGCCCGACCGCCGGGTCTGCCCGCCACTGGCCCGCGTGGCACTGCGCCATTGCGGCCGCGAGCTGCATGACGAGCGCGCGCCGCGGGTCCGTGTCGCGCGCGAGCGCGTCGATCCCGCCCATGCGCGAAAACATATCCACCGCCCTGGCGGGATCCTGTGCGGCAAGCGCGCGGGCCAAATTCCCGACCACGGCCTTGTCAGTCCGGTCAATCCGGAGCGCCTGCTTGAACGCGTCCACGGCACCTGCGTGGTTCCCGTTGCGTTCGAGCAAACACCCGTACGCGTTCCACGCGACCGCCGACGTCGGGTCCCACTCGGTCCATTTCCGCGCGGCAAACTCGGCATCGATCGCGTGCACGTCACGCAGCGCATGCACGTACTCGCGCATGACTGCCGGCGGGACCCACGCGCACGTGGCTACCGCATGGTGCAGCAAATTGGTTTTCGTCGTGGCACGCCGCGTCGCCGCGGCAAACTCGGTGCACCGCTGGAGTGTGGCCCACGCGGCCGCGGCGTCGGCGTCGTGCATGGTCGCTTGCTCGAGACACGCGTGTGCGAGCTCGCCGTCGTCGTTGGCCAGGTACAGCAGCCCGAGCGCCGTCCAGGTGGATGCTGACCGCGGGTCCAAGTGCAGGCTCATGACAAGACAATGCTGCGCGAGCTTGGGCTGTGCGAGGTGCGCCGCATAGACGCACCCGGCGACCGTCCACGCGGCCGGATCGTGCCGGTTCGCCGCGAGCGCTTGCTTGCAGTGCGCGAGCGCCTTGTTCGCGGCACTTTCGGCATCCCCGCCGAGCTGCGCGACATGGAACAGCACCTGCGCGGCATCGACATGGCACTCGATCGCCGCATATCCCTCGACCGCCTCGTTCAACGCATCCACGACTGACGCCGTTCCGGTCCAGAGGTGCGGAATCCACGTCCAGGCGGCGCGCAAATCCGCGACCCGTTTCGCGTGCGCGTTCGGCAACGCCGGCGTCGGGTGCGCCTGCATCACGGCATACCCTTCGTCCAACAAACGTTTCGTCTCGGCGTACCGGCCCGTCTCGTACGCGTCCCGCGCATGCGTTAAGTACAGCTCCCCCGCCAAGATCACCGACGGCGCAAAACTCGCGTCCGCATCTAGCGTCGCGTGAGCGGCCGTATACTGCCCGAGTTTCATGTTCACGACCGCCATCAGGTACCGCGCCGATTTCCCTTCCGGGTCCAACTCGATCGCGCGCGTCGCGGCTTTATACGCGGTCAGATACCGCCCGAGCTTCAAGTAACACTCGGCCAACGTCTGCCATACCACCGCGTCGCGGAAATCCAAGCGCCCCGCAGCCTGCAGCGCGGTCGCAGCGTCCTCGACGTTCCCGAGCCGCAAGTGGACGAGCCCGAGCTGTTTCCGGATCCACGCGACGCGTGGAGACGCGTCGGCCGCGGTTTTCAGAACATCCCGCGCCGCAGACCACGAGGGTTCGCCCTGCGCCCAGTAGTGCCGCACGAGCACGCGCGCGGCTTCCGTATCGCGCGGGTCCAGCGCAAACGCTTTCGCCCAGCACTTGGCCGCACGTCCCGCGTCGCCGCGCGCGGCGTAAACGTGCCCGAGGTACGTGAACGCCTCGGTGCACAGCAGCGGCGCGCGCTGCGCGGCGTGTAACAGGTGCGTGAATGCGGAGTTGCCGTCATCGGCGGCCCAGTACGCGCGGCCGAGTCGGTACGCGTGTACGGCTTGCTGGTGCGGCGCGGCGAGTGCAGTGGAATCGACGTCGGCGAGGGTCGTGAGCGGGTCGCCCTGGTCCTGCAGGAGGTCGAGCCACCCGAGGTTCGATTGCGCCCAGTGTGAACGGACGTGGGTGAATGCCGCGCGCGCTGAGGGCCAGTCTTGCAATTGCATGTAGGCCTCGCCGCGGAGCGTGAATGCTTCGGCGGCGAAATCGTCGGAGTCGACGGCATCGAGGTCACGCAGCGCGTCGTGCACGAGTTGCGCGCCGAGCAGGACTTTGGCGCGGGTCAAGTGCAGCCGGTTGGCGACGCGGTCGAGCGGGACGGCGAAATCGCGTTTGGTGGTCTGGACCAGGTCGAGCCCGCGCGTCGCGGCATCGAGCTGCGCCTTGTCGGCCGACGCGAGGCAGGACGTGACGAGACACCCGAACAGCGACGGCGACGTGGGCACGGTGTCGGGCTCGTTATCTGGGTCGAGAACCCACTGCGCGAACACGGCGTACTCGTCCTGCGTTGCGTCGTCGTCGTCACTGGCGGCAGTCTGCAGCGGCCACGCGGCGAGGTACGCGCGGAGCAGCGCTTCAGGCACTTCGCGCACATCCGCGGCATTGGTCCAGTCGAGTGCGAGCTGGTACGCGGCGCGCACGTTCTCACCGCGCGTGATGATCGCAGCCACCTCGGTCCGTAACTTGGCCGCATACTCGCCGCGCTCGGCCTCGTCCTCGGCGCCCTGCACGCGCGCCGTCAGCAGCCCCAAGTACTTTTCGACCATGTCCAAGTCGCGGTTCAGGTGCAGCAACTGCTCATAAGTCCCGAGTAGCGGAGACGCCCGGTGCACTGCGCGCTCCACTTGCCGCTGCAGCTCTGGCAAAGACGGACCGCCGAGCATCCCCTTGCGCGCCTGCACTTGCGCTGCAATCGATTCGGCATCGTGTGCGGCCTGCACGGTTGCGAGCTGTTGCAGAATGCCGGCGGTGGACGGGCGCGGGTCGGCGAGCCGGTCGTAGATGGGCGAGTCGGGCAGGAATTGGCGCAGTGCGCGGTCGGCCGCGGCCCAGTCCTTGCGGTCGGTGTGCAGTTGGACGAGGGCGGTCGCAATATCGGTCAGGCGCTTGGATTCGTTTCTGGTATCAAAGAAAGCGGGCGTGAGTCGAGACCGCGGTTTCCTGCGTCGGATCAAAACAGTACGTACGCCTTGTAGTAGAGCACGACGAGCTTGTGCATGGCCTCGATGCGCTTGTCGACGTTGCCGGCCTTTTCGTGCAGTTTTTCGAGGCCCTATCGCGAACAACCCGTCAATCAATGTGATCACACGTCCGCAAAAACATAAACACCAATCGCACCTGCCACGCCGACACCAATTCTGGGTTCGTCTCGAGCACCGTGTTCAGCGCTACTTCAGACTCGTCGTACTTTTCGAGGTTCTGCGCGGCCAGGGCTTTGAAGAGCAGCGCGTTCAGATTGGCAGGCTCATAGCCCAACAAGTCGTTAACGGTGTCGTAGGCGGCGGCATAGTCCTTGGCACCGAGGGCGTCGCGCGTCTTTTTGAGCAGCGTCTTGACGCGCGCGGCGAACATGGCTGGAGCGAAGGGGCGCGTCGGCGCGCCGAGGCCGGGGTCGTGATCAGGTCGCGGTCGAGAGTCGAATGGGCTGCCGGTGCGTGCGCGTATCTTGCGGGCAGTCGCCGCGCGCTGAACAAGAGCGGATCGCGCTGTGGTCGTCGTGATCGTCGTCGCGGTGGTCGCGTTGTTCGCTCTCACGGCTCCGTGGCTTCGGCGCGCGGCACTGCGTCACGGACCTGCCAGGCCCATCGCGCTCAGCTCCAGCCGCGCCCTTTTTATCCGAACCCACACCTCCGGCCAGCGGCCACCTGCCACCAGCACACCAGCACCGAGAACCGTCCCACGCGCCCGAAAAGACCGCGCGACTGGCCGCACTCAGACGACGTGCCCGAGCGGCCTAAGGGGGCCGACTTCTATTCGGCTGCGGTTTCCGTTCGCAGGTTCGAATCCTGCCGTCGTCGGCAATGGGCCGGGTTGTGCAGGACTACGATACCGTCAACGCATTGTTCTGGTCTCTTTTTAGCCGTATTTGATGGAAACAGAGGCCCATGGGTGACTTTTTGCTGCCAGGAACTCACCTTGGCCATGGAACAGCCACACAGCTTGCCCTGCTGCACCATCAGGGGCTGCGCGCAATGAATCCCGTCGCGGCATCGCCTGTCTTTTTGCTCTCTCCTCGCCTTCGCGACGGTCTGCTTTGTGCTGGCCAACCAGATCCGTCGGTACGGCCGGTGCACGACGCAGCCTGCTCGGTGTGATGGCGCGCGTGATGGCCCCTGCCCTGTGCGCCCGACCGGGTGCCACCGATCGTGCTGCGCCCGCACGCCGTGCGCCGCTCAACCCACGGCCAGCTCCTCGACTCACTAGGGCCTTGCTGTGCTTCATGTGCTTTTCAACCACATTGTCAGGCAGGTGACGCGCGACTCAAGCTCACCACGCTCGCCACGAGCGACGCTCGCGGATGCATCTCATCCAGCCTGATCGCATTGTGCTGCTGGCGCCACCGATACTCATCGTCCAGCTGGAGTTATGCTAGTCGCTGACACTTGCTTCAAGTTCATTTTCGTGCGCCGCCAATGCTTGTCGTCCTGACCAAGCATCACACGTTGCTGTTAATGTGCCGGCCAGCCCGCTCGCCGTGCACCATCATTACCTGTCGCTACGCACCTCTATTACATGTCGCCCAGCCTGATCGCTGCGCCGTCAATACATGTCATCCTATTCACTTGCCGCGCACCACCAATATTTATTGCCAGACCACTCGCTGCGCTTTCAATACTGGTCGTCCAGCTCGCTTGCCGCGGACTGCCAATACTTGTTGCCAGCTTGTATACTGCATGTGGCCGATACTTGACGCCAAGTCCGCTCGTGGCGCACTGCTAATACTTGTCCAGCTCTCATGCTGCGATCCGCTGATACCTGCCATATCGCCTGCTCGCTACGCCCCACCAATACCTGCAGTCCCGCCAGCTCGTCATTCACCGCCAATTCCTGTCGTCCAGCTTGCAGGTGGTATGTCGTTGATACTTGCTGTTCGGCTTGCATGCAGTCTGTCGCCGATGCTTGTCATCCAGCTCGCATGCTGCATGCCGCAGATGCTTGCCTTTCAGCTCACATAATACCACGTTCGGCTCATATATCGCTGCCTCTGTTCTCGTCCTGCTGCCCCGACGCACGCCACCAACTTGTCCGGCACAGGCTCTACATGTCACTGATCCGATTCGCCCACCTCGCTTGCAACACGACACTGACACTTCACGTCCACCTGGCTAGGGTGTGACGGAGTTGGTCAGCATTCAGCGCTCTGTTCGAGCCGTTTCAAGTTGCGGGATCGACAGCGAGACATGGCGTGAGACATTTTCTGGAGCCATCTGCGCGATTTTTCTCGTCAGTCAGTCCGCCACCCTCTACACCAACGCGGCTCTCTCACGGCACCCACACAAAATCGCGCAACGCTCGACCGACACCGACTTGCACCAAGATGCGCAGTCCTACCGGCCGGCCGACTATAAAGCCGCGGTGCCGCCCCTGCTCGCTGATCCCGCCTCATCCTGCAACTGCAACGGCAACCTCAAGTCCGCCATTCATCTTGATCGTCACCAATCATGTCGACACCCGCGCCGGCCTTACCCGGCGCCGCATCCGTGACCACGACCTTGCTCGTGGACGGCATGACCTGCGCGTCGTGTGTGCGCTCGCTCGAGACGGGGCTCGGCGCCCACTCGGCCGTCCGGTCCGTCGCCGTCAACCTTCTCGCTGGCCGGGCGACCGTCGAGCACGATCCGGAACTCAAGCCTGCGACGCTCGTCGACCTCGTTGGCGACCTTGGGTACGACGCTGAAGTTCTCGCGTCGATGGCCTCTGCGTCGGCCGCGACACTCGCCGAGTACCAAGGACCTACACCCAAGACAATCGATGCGGTGCCGCCCGTTCCAATGGATATCACGACGACTCTGATCATCGAGGGCATGACGTGCGCGTCGTGCGTGCGGTCGCTCGAGACCGGGCTCGCCGAGGACGGCCGCGTGCGGTCCGTGAGCGTCAACTTGCTCGCTGGGCGTGCAACCGTCACGCACTCCCCCGCGGTGACGGCCGAGGACCTGGTCGAGAGAGTGCGCGCCCTCGGGTACGACGGCGAAGTCCTCTCCACCGGCCCCGCGGTCACCAGCACCACGTCGGTCGACTTGAAGCCCATGGCCGCTGGTGATACGATCCGCGTCCCCGCCGACCCGGCGTCCTGGCGCGCGTACTTGCGCGCGCAACTCCCCACCGACAATTTTGTGGAAACCCCACCCGACTCGCCCGCCGCGTCGATTATCGACATTGACGCGACGCTCGTTCGTCCGTCGTCCCGTTCCGTCGATACCTACGAAACGAGCGAGAAGTCACCGTTCCGCGCATCGCTCGCACGCGCTGTGACCCTCACTTTCCCTTCAGATACCACCCTCAACCTGTCCGCGCTCTCCTCCGCCCTCTCGTCGATCCCGGGGGTGACTGAGATCACCCGTTCTACGGAAACCCAAGTGCGCGTGACCCTGCACCCGCTTGTCACCTCGGCCCGCGCCGTGCAAGCCGCCGCGTCCCGCATCACCAACTCCACCGTGACCGTTGCCGACGGCGACGCTGCTACGCCCGGCGGCCTCGCGACCCTGATCACCGCCGCACAGCGCGCCCACGACCGCCACGCGCGGCACACCCGGCTCGCGCGGCGCCGGTTCCTGACGGGCGCGATCATGGCGGTCCCGATGCTCGTGCTCGCCATGATCATTGGGATGCTCTTGCCCGCCGATAATCCCGCGCGCAAAACGCTCGAAATGACGCGGGTGATTGCCGGGGTGTCGGTGACCGACGTGGTGCAATTCGCGATCGCCACGTGCGCCGTGGGCCTTCTCGGAGTCCCGCTCGCGAAAGCCGCGATTCGCGCGATTCGTGCCCGGGGAAAGCCGGATATGGATGCGTTAGTCGCACTGGGCGTGTGGACTGCGTACCTCGCGTCGGTGGCCGCCGTGGTGGTGAATGCCGTGCAGCGCGCGCCGCTCGGGATGGACACCCAAGAGGGGATGCATGGGCCGAGACGAGTGGCGACGTTTTTTGAGACGCCGGTGCTGCTGCTCGCGTTCTTGGCGCTTGGGCGGTGGTTGGAGGCGATGGCGAAAGGCAAGGCCGCAGATGCGGTGGCCGCGCTGGTCGCGTTGCAGCCGGATCAAGTGACGCGGGTCGTTGGGGGGAAGTGGGATGGGCGGGCGAAGGTGGTGGGGGTGGAGAGCGAGGTGGTGGTGCCGTCGGGCGAGGTGCTGAGTACGTTTCTATTTTCGTTTCTGTTCTGGAAATCTGGCGACGTGGACGTATGGATGGCTAACGGCCTTCTCCACCGTAATCTAGTTGGCGATTTCATCAAGGTCGTTCCGGGCGTGCGCGTGCCGTGCAATGGGATTGTCGTGTCGGGCTCGTCGCGTACGTGTTGCACCCGTTCAATCCGGACGCTCCGCGCTTCACTTTCTGACCCACACTCGCTCGCTCTCTCTCTCTCTCTCTCTCTCTCTCTCTCTCTCTCTCTCTCTCTCTAGTCCTCGACGTCTCCGCAATCACCGGCGAACCCATTCCGATCCCAGCGACTCCCGGCGTCACGACCGTCGCCTCCGGCGCGCTCAACGCCGGCACCGCGACCCTGCTCCTCGCCGTGACCCATCCCGCGCATGCGTCCACCCTCGCCCGCATCGCGACGCTCGTCGATAATGCGCAATCTGCCTCTGCCGGCGCCAAGTCTGACGCCGAACTGCTCGCCGACCGCGTTGCTGGCCGGTTCGTCCCGATCGTCCTGGTCCTGTCGATGCTCACGTTTGTCGTCTGGGAAATCATCACGGCTGCGACGGGCTGGGTCGCGGTGCCGATGGGGTACACGGCACATACATTGGCCTTGCAGTATGCGGTGGCCGTTCTCGTCGTTGCGTGTCCGTGCGCAGTAGGGCTCGCGGTGCCGACGGCGGTGATGGTGGGTGCGGGAGTTGCCGCGAAGCACGGAGTGTTGGTGAAGGATGCGGGTCGGGTCCTGGAACGGTGTGCGCGGATCGAATATTTGGTCGCGGATAAGACGGGGACTTTGACGATTGGGTACGTCCACTTGACCTAGGAATGCTGTGAATTCCAGGAAAACTGACGCGCTTGAATTGTTTTTATAGCAAACCGACCGTCGTGCACGACCACATCGAACCGGCCCCGTCGTCGCTCCCGCTCGCCGATGAGTCCGACTGGCCCACGATCCTCTGGTCCGCCATCGCCGCCGTCGAAGCCAACTCGGCGCACCCGCTCGCGCGGTCGCTCCTTGCGCACGCGCGCGCACAACTCCCCTCCACTCTCCCCTCGATCACCGTTACCAACGTCCACGAAACTCCCGGCCGCGGCCTGTCCGCCCTTCTCCACCTGCCCACCTCATCCGCTCCGCTCGCCCTGCACGTCGGCTCCCCGACATACCTGTCTACCATCGCCCCGGCCGCTTCCTTCCTCACGGACCTCGCGACCCGCGGCGGAACCCTCGTCGGCGTCGCGCTCGCCGGCCGCGTCGTGTCTGCGCACGTCCTGGACGACCCGATCCGGCGCGAATCCCGGCCGGTTGTCCGCGTCCTCCGCGACCGGCTGGGGGTGGACCTCGTCATGTGCACTGGCGACCAACCGTCCGCCGCGCACCGTGTCGCCGCGAAACTTGGGATCGACCACGTGGTTGCGCACGCGACGCCAGAAGATAAACTCGGCGTTATCCGCCGGATCCAGCGCACCGGCACTCCCGAAATTGGCACTCCCGACTCGCCCAAGGCGCACGTAGTGGCGATGGTCGGCGACGGAATCAACGACGCCCCCGCGCTCGCGGCCGCAGACATTGGGATCTCCCTGCTTGACGCGACCGACGTCGCCGTGCATTCAGCGTCGGTGCTGCTCACGGGAGACGCGGTCCTCGCGCGCCTTC